TCTCATAAAATTTTATGTAAGAGTCCGACTGTCTTCAAATTTCACACATCCCAATATTTATATTAAGCAAAGGTCTCGTGTTAAGATGAACAATATCGGCCCACTCCTTCTGGTACCTCCCCCACAAAAGGTCGAAATTTTCAAAAAAAAAAAAAAAAAAATTTTTTGCACAGAAAGAGAAAGGCTAATCCGAATTTGCTCCGACTTTGCGAATCCTAATATTTGCGTCAGTGCTAGGACAGGTGTGAAAGTGGACAAATATCGGTCCACTCCATCAAGTACCTCCCCCACAAAATATTGAAATTTTGAGTACCCATGAAGCTCATAAATCGCCAAATTAACATCCGATTTCATTTAGACTTGGCACATCTGTCGAAATATTTATATTATATTTTGGGTCCGATAGGAAATGGGCAATATTGGCCCATTCCTTCGGGATCTGCATAGAGGGTCAAACGTTTGAATAACCTTAACACTAGTCAAAATATATTTAGATAATCGAACATAGGCTGAGGGTATATCTCTGGCGGCAATACCGACTGACACTTTTTAACTTGTTTTAAAATAATTTGAGTTTGAATTTCAGCTCTCCGCTCTTCCTTATCTTGGGGCGATTCAAATACTTATTTACGGAATTTTCACAACCGTCTTTATTGACTTGTGATCGCTGAGAGCCTTCCTCGCTTTCCTTTCTATTTTGTGTTGTGCCTTGTTAATTTACCACCCCCACATTGTTTGCTGGGTAACGCCGCAATCAAATTCAATGCAAATCACGAATATTAAACATGCTAGAATGTAAATATGAAAATGAATATTGACAACAACAACAATAACGCAATAACGTAAAAAATTACAACAACAATACTGTTGCGTAGCAATATCAATATGTTTGTCATTTATTTCACACATACATACACATACACATATGTATATTGACAGTTAAATCGATACACTCTTTTGTTCTTTGCTGTTGAAATTGCAATTTTGGTTTTTCATTACAAATAGTGTCCGGCTCGAACATTCACATGTTCTCGCAATTCATGTGTGAAAATTTTCATCAATGATGTAGTGGCTGGCGGTTATACGATTCGCATTTACATATTTGTGGTTGAATTTTGTAATGAAATATTTTTGATAAATGAGATATGAGGAAGAAGAAGGGAGGAGAAAGGAGTGACGGGAGATGAATGTTATTTTTAAGTTAAAAGATAATTTTTTCGATAATTTTCTATGGACTTCAAAGGTCATAGAAGGTCAGAAGAATCTATTTTAAATTTGATATTTACTTTGAAAAAATGATAATTACAAAAATGTGAAAAAATCTCCCATTGAAATTCTTATCTTCAAAACTTCATATGATTTCAATTTACATTTGACACATGACTACTGATGTTTACTATTTTTTTATTTAACAAAATAATAAAATGTTCTTCACTCACTTAACTTATCTTTATAACAGTGGCAGTGATTTATAAATCCAACAACTAACTTGCAATTGCACATGGCACGGGGACGGGCGTTCTTTATAAATTCGCAATTATCATTTTTGTAACAGTTGCAAATTTTATAACAGTTGTACTCCTGCACACATTTATAACACTGAGATTAACTTTATTGCAACGGCGTGATAAATGTTTCGACACGAAAAATAGGGGCAGGGTTTTTAGGAGGCATCCATAATAATGTTATACACATCTATTTATAGCAACTTTTATTGGTAGAGAATCTGTGGAAAATTTTATAAAAATGCTCGAAAAGTTTTGACCGACAGAGAGAAAGAGAAGGCAAGGCAGTTCAACTAATGTGTTTACACTTTGCAACACAAACAAGAATAATTACAGGAAAAAATGCAGTTCCTGATTTTACAAGTAGAAGACACTTGAATCGGCATTTCGAAGGGTTATACCCTCTTTTGCACTTTTTTGTTCGAAATTTTCGGATTAAGATTTCTTAGAATCCTTGCACTTTAAGTATAAAATGTCTTTTGCATTATAACTACTATACGAGGATTGTTATACCCTCAGCCACATGGCTAGAGAGGGTATATATCATTTGACATGCCCAAAAATTTACTCATCGAAATAATGGTTTTAGAACTTAGGTCTCTTTGAACCAAATCCGTATCAGGACATTTGGAGTCGATCTAGCGATGTCCGTCTGTCTGTCTGGCTGGCTGGTGCGCACGATAACTTTCAAAGGGAGTATCCGATTCGGTCCAAACTTGGTACATGGCAATAGTATTATGAAACTTAGATCAGGTTCGGAGATGGCCAATATTGGTCCAACCCCAAAAAATCAATATTTTTAAAACAAAAAAAAAAAAAAAAACTTTGAATACCCTCTACCATTCGGTACAAATTTGGCAATTTTCAAAAAAAAAAAAAAAAAAAAATAAAAAAATAAACAAATAAATAAAATCCGTTAAAAATTCTGTTAAAATCTTAAAAATACCGTATGTCTATACGACGACAATTTTCTGTCATAGGCTGTAGCATCCTTTTCTAATTTCAAATACCAAATTTGAAACATTTCCGGTGAATAATGTAATTTGTAATCATTTGTATTGGACGAACGGATAAGGCTAGAATATTGAAATTTGGAAGATTTTTTTTAAGGAAATTCGTACTTTAAGTGTACGAAAAGTACTAAAAAATTTGGTATCATGATAGAGGTATAATGATAGAGGTATCATTTAAAAAATTGGTGGGGAAGTATGGTATGTATCAGGAGGTGTTTGTGGAAATGCATAAGTAAGAGTGCCAGTCGTAAAAAATGCTACAAAATTTGGTACATAATGGTACTAAATTTGGCATCGAGTGTAGGAAATTAGATGGGATTATGTAATTTAGTATAAGAATGCCCTGAGAGTGTATGAAGCTTAGATAAGAAGGTGGGTTTTTAAATTCGTTGTATGTAGTATACGAAAAGTACTAAATGGGACTATCTATATATATAAAAGAGTAGTGAAATAATTGACTGACTGATCAAGAATCAACGCCCAGTAGACACGGCTGAAGCTAGAATCTTAAAATTTTACACGAGGATCAGCCTTGATGTGGATGTGATTTCAGGAAATTTGTACTTAAAGGGTACGGAAAGTACTAAATATTCAATACTATACATTGGACATACGGAATAAACAAGAAATCTGATATTTAGAATGGGAGTCACTGATGGAGTGCAGAATAGACGTACCAAAGAATTTTTGGAAATTCGAACTTTAAAATTGCGAAAAGTTCTTAAATGGTACCAATCTCCTAAAATGATACCACATGGTACTATGTAAACGGATAGAGTTAGGAACGTTAAATTTGGTATAAAAATCAAGGTTGGAAAGTAAGTTTGATATATGAAGGTGGTTTTAGAAATGTGTACTAAGTGTGCGAATTGTACTAAATGGTACTAAATTTGGAATAGTTTTGTTTAGGGTGAATGGATGAAGGTGGAATTTTTAAATGTTGTATTGGGCTCCCCGCTGGTGGTAGGTTTGTTATAAATAGGTGTTTTGGTAATGTGTGCTACAAGTGCATGAAAAGTACTAAATAGTACTAAATTTGGTACAATTTGGTATTGGGTGGACAAATAGTACTTGAAAACTGAAATTTGGTAAAAGGGTCGTTGTTCATATGCAGAATAGACATATGGAAATGGTTTCGTAAATGTGTACTATATTTGTACGAAAAGTACTTAATAGTACTAAAGTTGGTATTGGGTGAAGGGATAGAATTGTATCGGAAAATTGATATTTATATTACTAATGATATCTATTCTTAATGGAAATGCATCCTATATTTGTAAAAGTACCTATATTTGTAAAAGTACTGTAAAAGTACTAAATGGTACTAAATTTGGTATAGGATTCCGGTATAAGGCTGTAATCCTTAAATTTGGATTTGTTGATATCTGGTATTAAGATATGGAGGTGGTTTTGGAAATGTGTGTAATAATATAGTAGTAGTAAATTTGGTATTGGGTGAAAGAATAGAGCAGAATTCCTTAAATTTGATATATCTGTAGTTGATAAAAGGAGCTGGTCGCATACTATAATTGAAATGCTACTACTAAATGCTACTTAATTTGGTTAGAGCCGAAATCGCGAAATTTCAAATAGATGTCACTGTTGGTGCCAAGTAGTGAAATATAGACCGGTTTTGCAAATGAGTACTAATATAATACGAAAAGTACTAAATAGTACAACATTTGGTATTGAATGAAGCAAGAGAGCCAAAATCCTAAAATGTGCTATAAAAATACTGTTGATGTCTTTGGAATGAAATGTGGAACGCTTTTGCAAATAAACGTTTAACAAAAGTCCTAAATGGTACTAAATTGGGCATTGGGTGAAGGGATAGACCTAGAATCCTAAAATTTGATATTAAGGTCTCTATTGGTATCTGGAATTGAGATTTGAAGGTGGTTCAGAAGTGATACTATTTAGGACCAAATTTATATTATGGGTCGAAATTTAAGTAAGGCATCCTTGAACTTCTATGTTCTTTTGGCAAAAAAGAAAACAAATGACTTTAGGCAAAGCAAAAAAAAAAAAAAAAAAAAAAAATCTTCCTTGTATTTTCACCTTAACTGATTTCTATTTCGCTTTAATAAATTACTAGGCAAATACATTTCCAAACCTGTTCTTTTAATAGGTACTGATTGATTACCTTAGGGTGTAATTTAACTATCATTCATGAAAAGCACTTGAGGCTAATTGCAGTTTAACTTTGATTGATTTTAATAACGGCTATTGCCAATCATTTTTTTAAAGCTAAACTGTAGCTACTCATTTTAATAATGGATATTGTTTTTGTGATAGTCATAGAAAGGCTAAACAATAAAGGTTATCGATCGCTGTAAAGCTTTTTCAGTTTCAGTATTTCAAAAAGTAAAGTTAATTTATATTAACAAAACCTTTTCCTCTCTTTAGCAATATCATCTCTCTCCGAATGCTGTAACATCACTAATAAAAAAATTTTCTTTCTTTCTTCTCTTCTCCCCCACAGCCGATGCCATACGCTGTCATCAGTGCAATTCGCATCAGGAGGAAGATTGCATCACCCTACGTCTGAGCACCCCCGGCAATGTTCTCAACGATCAATTCCTCAAGGAGTGTCAGGTGCCAAATAATATGACAGCCTTCTGTCGCAAGACGGTGCTGAAAATCGAAGTGACCGGAGAGCAACGCACCATTCGTGAATGCGGCTGGAAACGCGACAAAGTGCAACAGGAAACCGGTGTCAGTTGTTTCAGCGCCGACCACGAGGGTTACACCCAAATCATTTGTGCCTGCGATGAGGATGGCTGCAATGGCAGTCCATCGTTGGGGGGCAGTCACTCCAAGTGGACGGTGTTGGCGGTGACTGGCGTGAGTGTGGCCATTGCTGCAGTATTAAGAAGAAATTGAATTTTGAGATCTTTTTTGGGGATCTCGAGCGATGGAGTTTATAAGTTTACTGCTTTCCTTTATTTTTTTCTTTTAAAATTTATTTTGAATTTCGCCTTTCTCTGTGTGCCTTACCCTTTTTTGTTTTATTTTCCAAAACTGTAATCACTTCTATGTAACTGTCTCTTTTCTTTAGTAATTAATATATATAAATATATGGTAATTTTATAGAAAAAACAAAAAACATAAGAAAACAACAACAAACATATTGTTAATAATTTAAGTTTGATGATATTTAATTTTAATTTCACATAAACAATGTTTTTTTTTTGCTTAAGTTTTGCAATAAAAATAAAACTAAAATTTAATAAAAAAAATATTTTTTAATGGGGTTTTTTTTATTTTTTTTTTTTGGGAAGAGGGTGGATACTGGTTATACGCCCACTGCATATATAAGTCAAAATATCAGGTTACTAAGAACTTTAGAGACTGCTCGATACAATTGGTAGCGACTCAGACAAAACTAGTAGAGCTAGAACTCAGGAATAAAAGAGTAAAAAGGCTGAAGGTAGAATCTTAAAATTGTTGGTGAGGGTCACTCTCGATCCGAAGATGTCAGATAAGGCTGGGTCTTTGGAAAACGGTACGAAAAGTACTAAATATGGTATGGTTTGTATTTGAAGAACCAGTAGAAACCAGTCGAGATTTCTTAAATTTGGAATGAGGGTCACTGCTGGAGAGTATTTTGGATGTACTAAAGGACTTTTTGAAATTCGCACTATAAGTGTACCAAAAGTACTAAAATGTACCACATTTAGTACCATGTCTATATTAATAAAAGTGTAAAATAATTGACTTAATGATTCAACAACGCCCAGACGAAACGGCTAAAACTAGAATCTTGCAATTTTAGGTGAAGATCACTCTTTGTCCGATGGTGTCAGCGTCTTGGTTTTTACGTACAACAGCGGTACGAAATGTGCTAAATATGGTACCCTTTGTATTTGAAAAGAACTCTTAAATTTGGAATGATGATCACTGATGGAGTGTATGTAGTGAATGTACCAAATGATTTTTGGAAATTCGCACTATAAGTGTACGGATAGTATGGTACAATAAAAAGGTAAGGTAGAGCTACCAGGTGATTAAATTTTTTTTCTAAGTGTGCCCGATTTCTGCCAAGCTTTGCCATGGATTTGAAAGATAGTGCTGTTTAGATCATTGTTTTGGAAGAAAATCCAGGTATTTAATTCATTTTTCCCGCTGTTTAACTGATTTAAATAATGGGGAAATATATTGAATAAATGAAAACAACTTGTTGCATGGAAATTTGACAGGAAGCGGGCATAGCCTCAGGGATGTACTTCAGTAATTTTACAAAGCTGTTCTACCTCCTTATTGTACCTTGGGATTACTTTCGGAAAATTGACTTATGGGCACATAAAATACTAAATGGTACTAAATGTTGATACAATATTGATTTGAGTATACTGATAGAACTGGAATCCTTAAAATTTTGAAATTAAGATTAGCATTGCATTGTAGGATTGGGGTATGTTTTGGAAATTCGTACATATATGTACTAAATGGTACTAAATTTGGTACAATTTGAATCTTGGGGGAACCGGAAGATTTGGAAAAATTATTTCTATTGGATTACATGATGTAGGTGGTTATGGACATTTGTACTTAAGTGTACTAAATTTGGTACAATTTTGATTTGAGTGAACCAATAGATCTGGAAACTCGAAATTTGAAAATAAGAATTCTATTGGACTGTATGATGTAGGTAGTTATGATAATTTGTACTTCAGTGTACTAAAAATAGTACAAGTTGGATTTGTGTGAACAAATAGAGGTGGTATCTTGAAATTTGGAAATACGATTACTGTCGAAGTGTAAGATTGTGATATGGACGTAGTTTTGGAAGTTCGTACATACGTGTACTAAATCTTACTAAATTTGGTATAATTTGTATTTGGGCGAACCAACAGGGGTGAAATCCTGAAATTTGGAATTGGGATTACTGTGGAAGTGTAGGATTGGGGTATGTAGGAAGCCTTGGCAATTCGTACTTATGTCTACTAAATGGTACTAAATTTGGTACAAATTTAAATTGTGCTGAATCGATAGAGCTGGAATTCAGAAATTTGGAAAGAGAGGCACTGATGGTGTGCGGGATAGAAGCACTGTAGTGTTTTTGGAAATTCGAACTATAAATTTAGGAAATGTTCAAAAATTTGACTAAACTTCTAAAACTGGTACCATTTTGTATTTTGTGGACGTAAAAAGCAAACTTGTATGAAAATTTAGGTTGGAAATTAAGTTTTATTTATGAGGGTGGTTTTGGAAAATTTAGATCAGTTTGGATTAGGGCGAACGGAAAAAGTTGGTAATTTGAAATGGTGGGTCCCCATTGCAGGTAGGTTTCCGACATAGAGGTGGTTTAGGAAATGTGTTCTGAAAATGCATGAGAAGTACTAAATGATACTATATTTGGTACAATTTGGTATTGGGTGAACATATAGTGCTGGTAATATGAAATTTGGTAATGGACCCATTGGTAATGTGTAGGCTTGTTATATGGAGGTGGTTTCGGAAATATGTACTATAATTGTTCTGTAGTGGTACTTAATTTGGTATTCGGGATAGGGCCGTAATCTATCAAATCTGAATCTGATATTGAGGTCTGTATTGGTATTTGAGATGTGGCGTTAACTTGGTAATTCGTCCCAAATTTGTACGAAAAATACTAAATAGTACTAAATTTGGTATTCGGTGAAGGTATATGGCTTGAATCTCGAAATTTGATATTGAGGTCTGTGTTGGTATCTGGGATTGAGATATGATGATGGTTTTGGAAATATATACTATAATTTTACGAAAAGTACTAATTAGTACAACATTTGTTATTAAGTAAAGGAATAGAGCTTAAATACTGAAATTTGAAATGGATGCCACTGTCGGCGTCCTATTGTATTTTGTATTTGGTAAAAGGATAGGACTGAAATCCTCAAATTAGATATGTAGGTCCCTACTGGCCTCAGGAATTGAGATATGGTGGTGGTTTTTTTAAATGTGTACCAACAGTGTACTAAATTTTGTAATGGGGGAAATTAAAGAGCTGAAATCCTGAAATTTGATATTAAGGTATCTGAGATTGGGGTATAAAATTGGTTTTGTAATTGTGTACTATAGATGTACTAAATAGTACTTAATTCAGCAACGGGGGAAATTGCAGGGCTGAAATCCTAAATTTTGATATTAAGGTCACTGTTGGTATCCGATGTTGAGATACGAAATTGGTTTTAAAAAGGTTTACTATATTTGTAAGGAAAGAAGAAAATAGTACCAAAATTGGTATTGGGTGAAGGAATAGAGCTGAAATCCTGAAATTTGATATAGATGTCACTGTTGTTGTCTCTTGTTAAAATATGGAGGTGTTTTTGTACTATAAGTGTACTATAATTGTTCGAAAAGTACTAAATGGTAATTAATTGGGTATTTGGTGATGGGATAGAGCTGGAGTCCAGATTTTGATATTAAGGACTCTGTTGGTATCTGGGATTGGTAGGTATAAGGCTGGAAACCTCAAATTTTGTATAGAGGTCTCTGTTGGTATCTGGAATTGAGATATGGAGGTGGTTTCGGAAATGTGTACCATAGTTGTACGAAAAGTACTAAATGGTACTAAAATTTAGTATTGGGTTAAGGAATAGAGATACATTTTTTATGTTTGATATTTAGATTACTGTTGGTATCACTGTTTGAGATTTAGCAGTGGCAGATATCGATGTCACTATTGGGTCGGAGATTCAGATATGGAGGTGGATTTGAAAATGCTTGCTATAATTGTTCGAAAAATACTAAATCGTACTAAATTAGTTATTGAATGAAGGAATAGAGCTGAAAAGCCTTGAATTTGATATTGAGATCTCTGTTGGTATCTGGAATGGAGATATAGAGATGGTTTTGGAAATGTGTACTATAATTGTACGAAAATTACTAAATGTAACTAAATTTGGTAATAAAGGTAATATGAAAAAATTACCCTTTTATACCTATCTATTTAAATTACTATCTCTTCAGCCATTTTACTAACAACATGAGTTTCTATTGGCCTTTTATGGAAGTCATTTTAAAGATAATTAAATTGACACCAAAATTATCCTTGACATTTTCATTCTTCTTTTTCATTTTGTCCAAAATTTTCGTAGTTTCCTAGTTTTTGGATGTTTTCTGTTTTTTTTTTTTTTTGATTCCAATTGCGTATCTGGAACATTATTTAATTTAATTTGTTGCAAATTGTGACAAGTTCACAATAAAATGTTGCACAACGACGACTAAACAGAACGCATCCAGCATTTTAAGTCCCGGCAAATGGAAAATAATTTATTACCAATGTGGCGCCAATGGCCATGATGGATGGAGGGATGCTGTTGATGATGATAATGGAGATGATGAAGATGATGATGACTCTGATGTTATGAGCAGCAAAAACAAATGGAACGCCATTAAAATGGAGATGAGAAATTATCTGTTTATTTCTTTAAACATTGAAGTGGGGTAAGGATGAAGTCAACATCCTTTGAAGGACCAAATATTTAAAAAAAATTTAAAAAGTAAAATTTTCATAAAAATTACTCTTGTCACACAAAAGGTAATTATAATTTCCGCAAGTGTCATTTTGGGGGGTGAGAAAGACAGGAAGGAAGTGGCGAGCCCTCTCATTACTCAAAAATCATGGCCATGGTCGGCCTGTAAGCCCATCTGACATCAAAGTTTGGACATAATTGTGATTTGAGATTCAAAGATAGTCCAAATTGTTGGCAAAAGTAGTCTCCTGAACCTCTCGTAGGGGAAATCTGACATATGGGGTTATTATTATTAGCTCAAATAAATTTGGAATTAATAGCAATTGGGAGTTTTTTTTGGAATGCAGGACTCAAAACCATTTGTCAGTTATTACCATTTCAAGCAATGCTAAATATAGCGCTGAGAGCCACTGTAAATTTCCTCAACGACATGACTAATCAACGCCTGTTTC